TCATGTAAAGTGCTCTCTCTTCCCCTTGACAAAATCAGCGACAGACCAAAATGGAGAAGGGAAGAAAAGACAACCATAGTAAACGAACAATTAAAATTGTTCACAAAGACAAATTCTATATTCTTTATGACATTTCTCTTGCTCTGTATGGATAGGCTGGGGAAAAAAAGACAAATTTTCTATTTAAGAAAAAAAAAAAAAACAGAAAGAAAGAAATCCTGCAAAAAAAAGCAAAACTTGTTCCCTAAAAAGGAGTCGCCAAATTCTAGGTCACAACCCATTACTGGGCTACAGCTGCCCAATAGTTGGGACAACTCTGTTACATAACATTTTTTAGACCCTGCTGGATCTTAAGCCAACAGCCAGACTTCTGCAAGATGATGTCATTATCCCCACATACCAGATGTGAATGCAGGCGAGTATCAAGCAGAGATGGGCCTATGACACAAAACTACAGACCCAGATTTCCAAGGGTGTCATTCTGCCCATGATAAAGTTGCGTTGGTAAATAACGGTTTGGGTTGATATTTATATCCTAGAAACATTTGGGTGGGAGATTTCAGATATAGAGATTAAAATCAAAATGCAAAGTGAATGGAGGTTGAGCCCAAATGACCACAGCACTGTATGAGAAACTGAGATGGTATAAGGTAGATCAGGCACCTTAGAAACTAACTGGTTCAGACGGCCTTCACAGAATCAGACTGACAAACTGATAAACTCTTCATTTATCCTTTATTTACGGGAAAGGAGAGGAGAGGTGAGGTTGCAGGGTTGCAGCTTATCAAAACTCAGATGGGGAAACAAACACCTGTTAATACAGTCGCAACTGAAAGATGTAAATTTGTTTTCTGGGTGGTGTACAGACATGTGAAGATCTTGTGACCTCTTAAAGGGTGCGTAAGGTACACAGTGAAAAATTATAAAATCTTTTCAAGTGACCTTGCAAATATTAGTCATTTTAGATGCGACAGAAGAGAACAAAAAGGCTTGGAGAAGTACAAAAGGGTCCATTTTTCTTTGATACGTGAACTCTTGAATATATCCTGAAAACATACAAGTTTCAATTTCCAAGTATTTAAAAGACAGAATTAGTCACTGGGGAGGAATTCCTTCTGGAGTCTACCTCTCTTCACAGGCACCCATTCTGCTATCCCTCTGAATGAAAATCGACTCCCCGGCAGCCCCCAATCAAAGGGACAAAGTGCTGTAGGCTACTATCTGATTGTGATAAGAGAGAGCTAAAAGAAAATAATAGATTCCTTAGTTCAAGAGAGAAGGAGAGATACAGAGGTGGCTGGAGGATTAGTGAACAATGTTGTGTTTTCCTTCCTCTGGTTTTCTCTTTATATCTGTGTAACTGGCTCTTCCAAGAGCATTAGGCACTGAATGCAATTTCATCTGGCAATAATGAACCTGTGAAAGTCCTGCCCTAACCATTGAGCCCTTGAATACTGGGCACCCTTAATATTAAATTCCATAGTAGAAACACGTAACATATATTTTTCATCCTGGCATTCAATACAATTTACAGAACTCAATACAAGGTGCTGCTAAGTCTGGCTGGAAATCACCCCATCTAAAAAGATCCACAACTTTCAAAAAGATATTAGATTCACCCAAAGAACCTTGTCTGCCTGTGTCCTTAGATGAACACAGCTGCAACCTACACAGCTTTCAAAATGTTTTCTTTCCCTGTTGAACTGCTCAGAAACAAAACCCACCAGAGTTTTGAGGACTTCATATTGTAACATTTACTCTCACTCCGTGACACTTAAGCAAGAGGTAGTCCATTTATTTACTCAGAAAACCAAGAGAAGCTGAGATAAAAGTAGTTATCAAAAGTAAAAATGGCATTTATTGAAGGATGGGAATGGTAAATCAGTGCCTCCAAATGAGTTCATAATTCAAAATACATTTGCAATGAGAAACGCACACAAAAAACCCTGTTTTCCTATCTTAAGATAGGATAGCATGATTTAGTATTGCAGGAATATATTGCACCTTGTCTTCCTAGCTTTAGAAAGTATATTTGCAAGTTCCTTAATTTTCTTCTGATCTCTGTACACACAACTTGCATACAAATTTACCCAATTTAAGGTATGTTTATAGCTTAGTACAACATAAAAATACCAGAGCTGGTTCTGAATGAGCTAACTTGGATACCAGACACAGTAGAGAGCTTCAGGCTAATTTACCCTGCTAACAAAAGTAATTCATATAGAGCCAGCTCCAATATCTTCACTCTGCACCACAGAATGCAAACACACATATTTTGATTTCAGGATCTGTGTGTCTCTGACATGAGCTGTAAAGTATTTAAACAATGGCCCCATTAGTACTGAAAACAGCTACTACTGTATTCCAGGACAGGATTAGTTGTTTTTTAATTGGCTTCATTTTTTTCTAACAACTCTAGCAAGGTGTAAACCACTGAATTATAGCCAATTCATTAACACTCTCCTGTGTTATGAAAGGCAGAGGATGTTGCCAGGTGTACATAAGCAACAACAATTTATGGAGTAAGCAAAGAGATGGAAAAATCTACTTAGATAATTAATGTCCGTTTGGGAAAAATTTCTGGGCTTTACTCTGTCCAAAAACAAATGTCGGAAAAATTGACACTTTCTACAGTAAATCTGGTTAGAAAAGGAAAAGGAGAGCCTGAAGCTTGCCCTCCTTAGCCCTGGAAAACACATTTTAATAGGGAGGATTTGAGTCAACAGCATGAGAGCCAAAGCGTGTGCTTGCTTTGGTGAGGCCCTTAAAACACTACACCTTAATTACTGAGGCAGGTAAAGCAAAAGGAATAAAAGGAGGTAACTATCAAAAGTGAGTGGGGGAGCAGTTAAGTAGCATCATTAGAACAGGGAAAAGGTCATCCCCACTCTTGTGTTTCAGTTTTGGCTCCTAAGCTAACTCTCCCGGTCAGCTCAAACAAGTCACTTCATCCTCTCTCAATTATTTCATACATGCAACGTGATTAGGGTTCCTCAAATTAAAATTCAACAGTGTAAAGTACAGATTAAGGATGGTCAAAACCAACATAATCCATTTTACTTTACTGTAAAATATGAAGCAATGTAACTGCATGCTAAAGCAAAGCTTTGAAACCATAGTAATATTTTCTAATCAAGGCAATCCTCTGATGCTCGTCCAGAGATACTGGCATGAATTAGACGCAGCTTGTGTTAAAGATAAGCCAACTCCTTGACATTCACCATATATATGCCCATAATGACTGCTTCTGTGTTCCCATCTACTTTTGTGTGCAGATCACAACTTTGCAAGGGGTTGTGGCTTCTAATATTGGTAAAAGATTAATTTGAAATACAACCTCCGTTTGCACTCCCTCCACTCCTTCAAGTCCCAGTGTTGCAGATTTAGTCTGAAGTCTGAAATTACTTATTAGTATGATGTTGCCCCTGTACAGTTTAGAAAACTCTTCTATAGCAAGTTCCAGTCAAGGAAGCCAGAGTAGATTGCTCCTGTAGAGACCAAACTGGCTTGGAGCTAGCGTAGAGCCCTGGGGCAATATGGGAATGACAACACTTAAGTAGTTGTTTGCTCTTAAGCACCTTCACTTAGGAACAAATGTATCAACAAATCCATGTCTAACCAGAGCTCGGATAAGATAACTAAATTCTAACTTAGGGCCTGACCTAAGTAGACACCAAGAGGTTAAAGGTTACTGCAGTAACCCAGTGCATCAACAGGCCTCCATAAACCTCCCGTTTAATCAGTAACTCCTAGTTTGAGTTGAAACTTTTAATCTGAAGCTATTTAAAATTCAAACAAACCCTGACAAATAATTGCTGCTACTTTCTTCCAAACTCTGCTTCCCATTTCAGTTTCACAGGCCATAAACTCTGTAGAAAATAACAACTTTTGACTTCCAAACCTCCTTTATTAAAATCCTTCTAATAAAGTACGCAATTGTTGCATGTAATAATAGAGGCGAATATCCCAGGTTGTTACAATAGAAAGCTTTTACTGCTAAAATATCATATGTTCAAAAAATAAAAAATAACATCACAAACCCCACCCCGCCACCTTTAGTTTTATAAAGTTAGTCTTCGTTCAGCTTTCCAACTAGGTCTTCATATATATCCTCACCTAATCTATATTCAATGAGTTTGTATTTGGGATGGAATTAGAACACAGCTTGGAAGTCCAATAATAGCCAAAAGAAGAAGAAAATTATTTCATGAAAAAACACAAGATGAAAGAACCATCTTTAATTACTTTATCTGTTTCTATATCCAATCTGAAGTTCATTGCTATGTCTATACGTTCATTAATGCACTTTTGCTAATGCACATTAAATTTAGTATCTCCACTTTGAGGTACTAAAAAAAAAGTGCATTCGCCTATTGTAATGCGCTTTAGCAAAAGCGCATGGGTTTTTTTGTGATGATTTAATGCGCATTAAAAATAGGCTAATGCACATTAAAGCACAAGTGTAGACATGCCCGTTGACAGCCTTTCTATAGCATTCAGTAGACTCTAGATCAGGCCCCTGGCAGGAATGAGAATTAACAATATAACAAAGTGGAATCTGACCTTATATCCACCAATGCGATGTTCTTGCTTAAATTCTTTTCCATTTTTCAACCACCGCATGCTTGGTGTTGGGTTTCCCATCGCTGGACAACGAAACTTAACAGTGTTAGCTGCTGGGACTGCATGTAACCTTTTCTCCATTTTGTCGGTATGTGTCCAGTAGGGTGCTCCTATTTACAGAAATAAATACAGAAAAATAAACAAACATATAAAAGCAAGCTCTATAAGTGGTGAGTTTTCTTACCAAGCCCACCCATTGCCCTGAGGCTTTATATGAATTGTCGGGTGGCTTAGAGTTAGCACATGACTGGGAGTCACACATTGTAACCTCAACACGGCAAAAGACTCGCTGGACTTACACAAGTCACTTAGCACAAAACTGTCCAGAGTGACTGAGGAAATGTAGGACTTGATTTTCACAGGACCCCAATGTTCACAGTTGCTTTTGACTTCACATGGAGTTACTGCTCCATACACTTGCAAATCAGATACCACATTTAGGTACCCAAAATGAAAAGGCTTTTTTTTTTTTTAATACTATTGAGCCTATATAAAACGGCTTCCCTATCTGTTAAAAATAAAGATGAATGTATCTGCTTACTGGACAGCAGAGTCTAAGGAACTGTTAACATAATTCCTGTTATGAAGGCACTGTGCAAACAGTAATATTCATCAGTTTATACGAGAACTACTAGTAAAGTATTTACAGTGGAAACATGTTTATGAAGTCTTAACCAAAGAGCAGGAAGACAAACTGTAAGGCAGGCATCGAGTTAATTGGCTTATTAAACCCATTTTCTAATATTCAAGTTCCAGACCTTAAACTATATATTTTTAAGAGGACATGCTATCAACCCAGAAAGCTGTTGCATGATGAGACAAACGCAATAAAATACAATAAAAACGAATTTAGCTGAAAGAATTCAATGTTCAGGGACACTAAAACCTAAGGCTTGGGCTGGTAAATTATAAGGATGGTAGTCGATCAGCAAATATTGAATGGCATCTGGAGTTCAGAAATGCCCCCAAATTCAGGGTTTTTCAGGCTGGGACATTTCCTAAAAATATTGCCCAAATTCTGTAGTGTCCAATAGAGAGACACAAGTCTGCCACACACGTGTACAGCAATTGCATTAAGTAGCAACTGTAACTTGAGTGCATACATGCTGTTCTTTTCAAATCCACAGAAAGCCTTCTTCTGTGGATTCAGATGTAAGACTCTGTCTTAAGGTACAGCTGCAGAGTACCAACATTTTCCCTGTATATTTTTCCATTAATTTTTAGTTAAAACCCATCACTTAGAGGTAGCTGTTTTTACATGTTTTCTTTCAAAATATAATTGGACATATATTTACCACTGAAAAAAGTATGTCCATCCATGCAACACAATTTTATTCCCCATCAATTCGTTATGAAACCATACAAAGGTTAAATGCTAAATTATGAAATACCCAGGTAAAGAGTAAAAATTGTGAGTCCTTTCACAACAGACCTCAATGATGCTGGAATAAATAGTATGCACAAGATGGTGTAAACCAAACTAGACATACAGGCCAGAAGCTTCTGTTGGAGGCATTTTGCTTTGAGAAATATTTATATAGCAGATTATTTAAAAATATTTACACAAATCTGTACAATATCTCCTAGCCTGTATTGAATCATTTTCTTTGTTCTGTCAGGAGACTTTTTCATCTTTCTTCCATCAAAACAACAAAAGAAATAGTAACACGTGGAAGACTAAGAATAATAAACATGGTCAAACAATATCAAGGTCCAAATTAAAGTTATAAATATTACTTAAATGCAGGGGCAGAGGAAAACCGTATTTTAATTTACATCACTGAGCCAAAGGCAGTGCAAGAGTTTGCAAAGGGAAGTAAGCTTGGACCCTGTTCATTTTTGCATTATGACTGGCTACACTCTATGAAAAGTACCTCTCATATCTGGAATCATCAAAACAGACCTCGGTGGGTGAATGATTCACACAGCCAAATCCAAATCTATATACCCTATCCAACAACATCCTCTCTCATCTTGGTGAAGAAAGCTAGCAGAGTGGTAATCTCCAATATCAACTCAGAGAGGAGTTGGACAACATCCAGAAAAAGTATGCGTTATTGTGGAAAAGTAAAATAAAAATACGGAAAGTGGCTTTTTAGCTGTATGTGGACGGAGCAATTGGCCAATTTAGCACCATATGTATGGAAGGTCACTTAAAAATAATCCTGTAAATTCAACCTCTAGATTTTTTCACTATTGAAGCACATCAAAGCCCCAAATATTCAGTGGACAGGGAAGCCCAACACAGCTGTACAAATTAGACATACATTTGTGAGCCTACATTTATAGCTATGGTTACTGTTGCTGCATGCTCATGCAGATGATTAGACGTACATACATCCCTTTTTGTCTGCAGTCCAGAGAGATAAACATGTGTGTGCATCCGTGTGCGCGCGTACATATAAAAGAGCTGCTGTTCTCTTTCTCTTCTCTCTCTAATATGTCACTTCCCAGAATTATAATCATGGTAAAACAGGAACTGGATTTTTCAGTTGGTTTTTACCCTCTGGATGCCAGGTCTGGAACATATTTAAAGAATACTCTATACCCATGATCCATGGAGGTCTATTAGCATCAACTAGATGAGCCATGAATACAAATTTCCCCACAGAGCTCTATCAGGACAGTCCATTTATAAATGACACTTAACATATCCTAGTATTTTGGCCTGGTCCTTTCCAACAGACAGCGCTACTTGAGCTGAACTGTGGAGTAGTTTCATAACTTGGTTTTAATTGAACCTCCTCACCTGTTTAAAAAAAGTAGAATCGAGATCTGTTTACCAGTAGGAAACATTAATTTCTTTTACAATGGCTTCTTCCTGAACTAAATCAGATTAGGGTGGAATTTTTAGGACTAGAGGGAATCCAGAAAATAACTCTACTTCTCTCAGCCCTGTTTCATTTCCTTCATTAGCAGCCTAGCACTCCACTATAAATACACTCTTCCGTTGTTCAAATATTTATAGCAGTTCTTACAATCAGTGTAAACTCAGAAATCCTGAAACCCACCCCCGCCTCATATAAAAAATACAACTGAACAGAAATACAAGAATAAATCCTTTAACCAACACCCCCCCCCACCCCCCCCCCCCCAATTCCTGCTCCCCCTGCAAAAGAAAACATTTCAGCAGGCCATAAAATGATGCTAAAAAACGATAAGTGATTTTTTTGTTTTAGCCCAAAGAAGCAATTAGTGTTAAAATTAATGAACTAGAAAAGCAAAGCAAATGCACACATGTAGCCAAAACATAAAATCAGGTAACTTATAAATATTTAAAATTAAACTGCAACAAGAAATTGTTAAATGATCCAAAGTACATAGGGATGCAGTGGAAAGCTTCATTCTTTTCTAAAAACCAGGATTACGCTAACTGAACAAAGTCTCCTTCAACAAAACGAAATAGGAGGGAAAGGAATTAACTGCATCTAGGAAAAAAGGCATTAACTACAAACAACACTGAGTTACATGAAATCCAGAATACCTAAAAAGAATATTATACATATTCAATAAGGCAGTGCAACATAACCAAACAAATACGGTCACTGGGCCTAATCTAGGAGCCCAGCAAACTGAAAATGCACAAGTGATCTAACTACTCAGCCACTTATGCATATCCCTAAGCAATTAATAGGGATATTCTCCCTATTAATTGCACAGCACCAACTCAGCAGCAGTCACATAACCGAAGGAGGGAAAGCAGGGTAGCAGCCCCAGGCGACACCTTTGTGGGGAAGATGCAAAAGCAGCCATTGCTGCTGATTGCATGATCATGCCACACAGCTGCCCTGGGCACAGAGCTCCATCACTATACCTCTGTCATCAGCTTCACAGCTCACACATGCACTGGTCATGTCCATGGCATGCACAGACTCAGGCATACAATGCGTGTAGGGGCAAGTGGCTGGTGATGGCTACAGGACCCCCATATCTGTATTCCTCGTGGTCCCCTCCAAATTGCTATGAAAGAAGTGTCAAAGCTTTTCATTGTATAGGATTGGACCCAAACCGTCTGCAGAACACTTCCCCCAGGTACGTCGGAACCAATACTGACAGGATCCAAACTTCAGTTGGGAAAAAAAAGTCCCTAGAACAAAGCCTGATTGTCAATATTTTTAAAAGAGTAGTAGGTGAAGCATCTCATATTAAAATGATGAGCCTTGATTCTTCACCAGGCTGGGGGAGGCAGCAATATTTCCAGACTTGTGGCATCCATCTTCATTTTGTGATTTCTTGAAACCAAAGAAAAAACGTGGTGGTTTGTCCGTTTTAACTCCTCAAGCTGTAAAAGCATCATGTGTGTGTGTGGGGGCGCATACCATCTTTACTAACAAGACATTTGAAAATGCATAGCCCTATGGTTCATCTAGTTAAAGCTCAGAGTGCTGTCACAGCATAAGCACTGGGTGCCCTAGTGAGAATTACTGATTGCTTTTAAAACTCTCATTAGTGAAGAAAATATCCCACTGGCCTCTCTGCATTTGACTGCCAACACATTACACTTAATCAGGCAAATCGTATACACGCAAAATTGAAATAAAACAACCCAGAGGACCATTTTGCTAGAGCATTTTCACATTCCAGCTTTAAAGAAAAAAGGATCCAACAAATAGGAATATAAGAGACAGTGAAGTTTGGCTGCAGACCACCTCTAGCCGGTGACAGTCAGTGTCTTCAGTGACCACATCAAAATAGCCCAAGGTCTCCAGTACAATTGCATCTGATATTTAATTGAAGACCACTTCTACAAGACATCCAATTTTTGATGCTCCCTCGAGCAGGTTTCCACTCCATACTCTTTGATTAGTTTGAACCTTTTCATGACTGTTATCGCTCCATAGACAGACAGAGCTTTTCCTTCTGGATATCCTCTGGTGTTTAATAAGGACACTGAAAGGTTTAAATATAGTCTGCTTTAAAGCAAAGGTTCATATGGCCAATATAAAACAACTTAGCTAGATTGAAATGGTTTAAAAGGCGGAGAGGGAGGAAGCAGATGCTCATGGCGCTGGTCTTAGATTCAGTTCCTCTCATTGGTATATAATTCAGTCCAATTTAGTAACAGCCTAATGATAACCCAGTAGCCAATGGCAATCAGTGACCCCAGTCCAGTTCTAAACAGACAGGTGTACATGTCATATGGACGATTATCCCAGGTAGTATTCATGTACTAATCAAATGTCAAGCTGGGAGCCAGGACATAACTCTGCAAGGTGATGAGAACGCTTCAACTCCCATTGTGTCAACGGTGTATTCATCATAATGCGATCAAGCAGAAAATGACAGTGATTACATTCTCAGCATTAGGAATGAATAGCCCTGCATCGCCTAGAGGCATCCCTAAAGAACAAGATGGAGGCAAATCACTAGCACACTACAGAGGAAGTCTGAGCTGCCAAACTATTTTGTGAAGAGAGGACTTCATGTTAGGGCAGAATCAACCCACACTTTTCACACGTCCTATCACTTAAACAAAAGCTGGAAGTAATAAAAAGCCATTCAGGATGCTGCCTGGAACAAACTCGTTCCATTGTTTTCTGACAGTCAAAATAGAAGGCAGCATATTTTGCTCTGTTTGGTACGTGCCATTCACTAAAAAGGGCTGCAGGTCAAAATGATCAAATTGAGTTGCCAAATTTAGGTGCCCAATTCTACACAGTCCCGTAAATGAAGTCAGCCTGATTTTCAAAGCTTTTGAGCTCTTAAACCACCTACCAACTATAAATGGAGTTGCATGCCCTTTAAAAATTTAGGCTTTTATTGACAAATATAGTCACCTGCCTTAGAAAACTGTGGTCACAAGAAATACGTGTAAATGAAGAGTCATATATATAGTATTTTAAAAGGAACAACCATTTTAAAACAGTAAATAAAAATATCCCCCCCAAAGCTTTGTTTTATTTCTAAGTATGCAGGGTTAAGAATGCCAAGGTTTGGTTCCCCTAAAAGGCACTGCAGCCATTTCCTGTTTCATCAAATCATAATTAACATGGCAGGCCAGCTGCACTTTATCAGAATTGTTTCATCAACAAGCAACAACCTTTGAAGAGCATGGCCTTTTGTTTTCAACAGCAAATGCAAAACGGCCCTAGTTATCATTTTTTACCCTTAATGAACACAGCTGTAATTTATATGCAAATTATCAGTTAAACTATCTTAGATCTACAGTGTTCAAAATGCAGCTCAGGAAACGCACGCAGTTCTTCAGGGTCCACTTGTAATGATAGGAAAGTCAGCAGGTCTGACCAGAGCTCCCCTGCTTCATTTCAGACAGGGTCATGGTCATGGGAGCAACATACTGTGCCTAATGCATACAAGGCACAGGAAGGCAAAGGTATGGCCATAATCCTCCTCTGTGCTTCACAGGAGCCAGGAAGGGAAACCTAGAAAACCTAATCCTCTGTAGGGCTACAAGACAACCAGAGCCAGCCTTAATGGTGCCCTGAGATAATTGTATTTTGGCATTTCCCCACTGCCCAGGGCTGATGCAGCACCCCCCACCTCCACCGTCAGCAGTGCTGCTGCAGGCAGGCAGGGTCACAGGGCACAGTCCAGCGACAAAGCAGAGTGGCATGATGTGCCAGGCAGGAAGCTGGAGTTGGGGGGTGAGCTGAGCTGAGCACCCCCCTCCTGCCTGGGGTGAGGCAGGAAAGACCATTGCTGTGAGCACAGCCTTGCCGCTGACCACGGCAGCCTGGGCGGTTGCAACACAACGCCCAGTCCTAGGGCCGGCTCTACAGACAACTGCAGGGTCCTGTTCACCCAGCAAGTGCACGTTGAATCCTGAAGTTTGGTTTACGGTATGATCCCTTCAGAAGTTTGTATGGAGATCAAGTGCAGGTGGGAAAGCCTCAGGTAGACCTAACATCTCTGTAACCTAATCAGCATCTCACTCCAAAGGGAAACTAGTTCTAACCCTTCCAACTCCTCAGGCAGCTATCTTCAAACTGTTTTTCAACTCGTATTTTCTCTCTCAATCACAGCATTTGGGCGCAAGATAAAATATTAAAAGGGAACAAGGAACAAAGCATACGGGTTGGAGGATCCCAGGTATGCTACTTTCAGCCCATGTTCAACTTGCTGAAGTCAGCAAAGGTACCAAACCCTGAATATAACCTTAAAGTTCACCCAGCTCTGATACTGCCACGCTGAGTTGCAGCGCTACAACAAACATGCACTGCATTGGCATCTTTCATTATTTGGCAGGGCTGCTTCACCAGACAAGTTCAGGACCTTTTCTTGACTCAACTCTTTAAGGTGGAGTCCCACTACCTTACAGAAGGGCTGTCTAAGTGGCATCATGCGAGGGGTTAATTGTGGCCAGCAGGAGTTGTCAATGCACTTGCTGGAGTTACTTCTCTGGTGCAGCTCTGGAAACCAGGGGTGAACACAGGTATCACTAACCCTCCTTATCCCACTGCCTGCCACCAGATTTGGGGGCTTTGGTCACTAATGGCAACTTCAATGGATGGCAGAGAAAAGTGGGGATGAGGTAGGCAGTGGGAGCATTCAACCCCTGGTTCTAGAGCCATGCCAACAAGTCGCTAGCCCACAGCCGGAGGTAGGTCGTCCTGTGTGGAAACCTTGTTAAAAAAAAAAAGAGAGAGAACTCTAGTGCTGGCTTGTCTTTATGAGTGAGGATGCCATTCCCCCATACTTTAAAAAGTTTATGGTTTTTTACCCCCTGTGTTAAAAGTTTTTGATATGCAAAGCCATCACTGACCGTCCTTTTCGAGCAGTGGGAGTACAAGTGACCCTTGCTAATCTGCACAATCTATCAATGGCAGCCTAAAATCATCACAAGTCTTTCACACTCCTCTCAGCAAAGATTTATTAGCAGTGGCTTATAACAAAGCCTCACATTACAAGAGCATCACTTGTGTGACAAAGTATACGCCTAGACATTTGTTTTTACTCGTATTTACTCCTCTTCAGAACAAGTCGCATGTGTTAAGTAAACAGACAAAGCATGCTATTCTGTGCGTTTTCCATTTGCCAGTTCTACCCATCAACAAAATTCATTTATTCACAGCAATTCTCCCCCAGCTTTAGTGCAGATTGAAAGCTGCACTGTACTTACTAACTCGGCAATATTAGTGTGTAAATAAAAAAAAAAAATGACGACAGTAACATGGGTGTCCTTCTAAAGAGACAACAAGGAATTCTGCTCTCATGCATAATTTCAGGAATAAAGAGGTTTTCCCAAGTACTGCATAGATGTCTGTTTTAAAAGGCAATGTCCCTTTTCCAAACTTGCCAATTATTCTTGCCACTGCATTCCTTTGTCAAGGCAGCATTACAGCTGCTTAATCTCAGCCACTTCAAGCTGCACCTGTGAATCAGACTGAGTTAATCACACTAACAGATGGCAGGGGCCAAACAGTCAGCTAAGAACTTATATCATTTTAAATAGCATCTAATGTTTCACAGCTTCAGAACAGAGGCAGTTATATACAGCAGTATCTAACTAGTACAGTTGAAATAAGACTGGTAGTTAATCATCTGAATGAATACTTCAGCTACGTAGAATATATGCCAACCAAGAACTAATTACAAGCAGTCTGAAGAATGAATGTAGCACTCAACTATTACACTTTCTAGGTATATGACACCTGCAATGTAATGACCATTACATTTCATATAAGTTTACTGCGTGCCTTATATCACTCGACTCTATAAAGTAGAAGCAATGACACACTACCAGTAACCCACAGGCATTTGATCATTTTACCATGAAACCAATAAGTGACTAATACATGCTTTACCGTTTTCTTTCTAGTGATTTCTCTAATTAGACCCTATTAATATTTCTATAAATAGTTTAAAGGGAATGAAGTTCAATGTCCGTATAGGTTTAGGATTCTTAACTTGCTTTCACCTTAATTAACTACCATAAATATATGAGTTTTGCTTTGGATTGCTAATCAGCCAAAGTGCATTCTTTGGGACCAAATCCTGAAGTCCTTAGTAGGCAGAAGTCTTATTGTCTCCCATTGTCTACAGTCTCCAATGGGATTTTTTTTTAACTGAGTAACAACTGCAGGATTTGACTAATTAAAGCTCAGTTAAAAACAAAAAAAGTTCCAAACCACCATTAACTAACTCATTTTCAATCTGATTTTTTTTCTTTAATAGATGTCAAAACAGATGCAGAAGCAGGAAGTTAGACAGATGACAGGTTTTTAACCCATATCACAAAAAGGACTTAAGTGTAGAAAGAAATAAAACTACTGAAAAGCTAAATGAGCCAGACAGAACAGACTAGTAAACTGGGTATAGAAAAGTATCAGTTTATTAATTTATTTTTGCATGTCAGAGTCATGAAACAGAGAAAGCAGTAGAAAAGTTATTGTTATTTGATGTCACATGCATATAACAGCCAAGAAGCAAAAGTAGCAATGCAAAGAGTTAGAAGGTATCTTGTATATGAATCCCGCCAGTCATCTCCAGCAGTGTCCTGTTACTTACTCCTCTGGTTGTTGTCATTCACAAAGTCCTCAGAGGCATCATTGTCATCTTCATCATCCCCAGATGATAGAGCATCTGCACAAAGATGAATAAATCTTTTAATGCATTTTATAGGAATAAGCACCAGTTTTCTAGATTTTAGACCACTAAACAGGGTCCATTTTGATTAGATTTGACAAAATCTAATAAAAGGGGTTAATGATTCTGAACTGTTATAGAGGTTTCAAAGCCAGTTTGCTAATTCCAGAAAAAAATCTATTTCCCTCTAGCTCCAATTCTTCTCTTAACAGGTCCAATCAAATATAATGGTCTCACAGGATAACAACACAGCACCATGCAAAGCTATCAGTACCAATGGGTGCATAGTTCTAGGAGACATTTATAGATCTCCCAATATGAAAAATCTGAATATACACAAAAACTGGGCTTTTTTATCATCTCACTGTATATTTCTATATTTCTATTTAGACATAAAATACATGATTAGATCTGCAGCTGGTGTAAAGCATTTGCAAATTTACTCGGATTCAGAATCTGCTCTGAAGGGGAAACATGAATCTTAACACTATGAAAGGCAAGTTGTGACACAGTATCATTTTATGCAGCACTTTCCATACTCAAAAATGCTACCACGTGCAAGACATTGCTACTGCTTGCATTTAGCTCACTTACCTGTGACATTTACAATGAAGTACAGAGAATCACTTTCTAAGGTCCTAACAGCTGTACAAGAGTAGAGGCCCGAATCTTTTGGTGTAGTATCTTTAATTTGCAAATATTCCCCAATAATCATTGTTCTATTGTCAGGCCCCAATGGGACCCCATCTTTAGTCCAACTGATCATGATGGCATCTTTCAACTGACAGCGCAACTCAAGTGGTTCTCCCGGAAGTGTCGAATATACATCTGGCTGAGAGATTTGGTATTTGGTTGGAGGCTCTGCAAAGATGGAAGGAAGGAGGAAACAGAAGGAAGAGAAAAGAAAGGAGAGAATTTCCAACAAAAGTCAGTGAAGGCCCCTTTTATCCATAGAAATCATTTAAAAAATCTATATTCCATTACCAGATTCTCCCAGCAACCTGCCTCATAAAACTGAAAACATGAAAATATGGAACAGATTTTATTTGTGAGACGTTAACCACAAAGGTGGCCCGCACCAAAGCGGTACTGGCCCGTCCTCTTTTCACTGATGTAGCTATTTCCTTACCAAGAGGCACAGCACAGACAAATGCTTCCTACTACTAGGTGAAACAATCTAAGATAGACAGATGAATGTAATCAAGTCAGAGACTCTGAAGGTCTCAAAAAATTGGGGGGCTCAAACCTAATTTACCTTTCACATATGCAATTTAAATGAACAAATATTTTCTCCCATAAGAAATTCATTGCGGGGAAGGGGGAAAATACAAAAATACACAGCAACCTAAACTGGATTAAATGGGTGTGTTATACTCAATATAAACACTTTACTTTTCTCTGGCCCTTTTGTACCTTTTTCAAAGCCTCCACTTTTGTCTTCTGTGCTGCCAGCTCTCTGCTCCAACGCACAGTCATTTCTTCCATTAAATTTGTTCTCTCAACCTTTTATTTTATAGTCTCTAAATAGAATATAAGCCCAGTAACACTGAGTGAAGCTATCAAGCACAAGATGTACACAAGTTCAAAATGATGCAGTTCATCCATCAGTTCGCTTACTGGGAAAAGCCACTCAAGAATCTTAATAGCAACTTGCCTCAAACAAATTTGTTTTAAAAATGTAATTTCTCCATAGCTGCTATGGTCAAAAAGAGGAGAAACCCACAAAGAAGTCTGTGAATCTCTCTTGGCTATCTCAGTGAGTTCTCGCACTTGGGACCGATTCCTTTTGCAGCAACAAATGCAGCAGAGTTTAAAACCCACAAAGTCCTAGGCCCTCAGCAGCAGCAAGGAGGACTCGATATAGAGCTGGGCCCCATAGAGATTCTTTCCTGGAGATGTCATGGTCTCCCATCCCTTTTTTATTTTTCCTTTCCCAAGAATGGAGTAGGAAGTAAAAGAAGGGACAAAGCCTGAAAAAATTTTCTTGAGTCCTGAGGCAGATGCCCTCATCCTCAAGACACGGCATTTTCCTTGTGTATCCAAGTCTTCTCTACAAGAGGCTAATACAAAATTTGAACTGGTCAATGATGGAGACTTGCTGCACTGCCACTCTGCCAAAACACGCATTGGTAAAACAACCTGACACTGTCCTGCATTTAAATACCATACTATACCAGGGGTGGGCAAAATGCAGCCTGAAGGCCAGATGCGGCCCACCAGGCCATTTTATCTGGCCTGCGAGGCCCCTAAAAACTTTACAAAATTAATATTAATCTGCCCTGGGCTGCCTGTCATGTGGCCCTCAATGGCTTGCCAAAACTCAGTAAGCAGCCCTCTGCCCAAAATAATTGCCCACCACTGTATTATACCAAAAGACTTAAAGCCTATGGGTCATGATTCTCCTCTCCCTTACATATATTTTAGAGAGGCGTAAATCCATGGATTTCCACAGGCAGTTTGCCTGAACTAAGGACAAAAGGGTCTGCAGGATTTTCCTCCATGAAAGCAAGCCCAACATCCTTCACAACTTTTTCCGAGCACAAAATGTTCCTCACCACAACTTTGCCTCCACTTTTGGTACTCCCACAACAAGATTTTTGTAAAATAAAATGATGCTCAGTTTAGTATAGAGTTTTCTAGGCAAGACCTTTAAGATAGCATTTTTAGAAACATTAACACTTCATAAAATCATATAGTGCTATTCTGATTTCGAATTTGGAGTTGTTCTGTGTGCCAGATATTGTGGTTAAAAAAGCTCTGGATGGAGCACAAGTTATTTCTCCATATGTTTTGTATCAATAAAGGGTTAATACAAGAAAATAAATAACACCACCTGTATCTAAAAGCCTCATGCCCCTCCCCAAAAAATGTGTGACATTTAAAAATAAACAATATACCCATATACTTTAAAGGAGTCAAAGAGTTTGCTGTGAAGGCCCCACTGCACAGTACTAGCAGAAATACATTTCTTTTACAGTTTATTCTGTGCCAACAATTCACAGAGGTCTTTAAAACTGACTTTATATACATTTTTAAAATACCAGCATGGGTGAAGATAGCATTCTTCAAACTCCCTTCCCTTTATTAAATGGGGCTTTTACTTAATAGCCCCAAAAGCAAACGGACAGAAATTTCTGGATCCAGTAGATTGCTCATGCTGTGATCAAAGATGAACCATATTTGGAATCCATCCCTAGCTATGGTCCTTTTGAAATTACTAACGTAAAATATAGATGGAATCTGTCAACACAAAAATAAAAGTCCAATTTTAACAACAGCTTTAAAAGGAAAATGACTAGTAAACCAAGGAAATAACAGACTGCTCAAATATTGAGCTGGACCTCATGCATCTCTCTCTTATTAAGAATATCATCTGCAGAAAGATAACAGCATGGAGGGTTGTCATGAAATAATGAAGTAATGTTTGGAAATAGTGAGTTATTTCAGGTAAGGCTTTGTGTTGCCAAACTAGAATATAGCAGCACTTAAGACTGTCACTTTTTATAACGTTTGCCTATAAACTTTTCCAATGTGAGTTTTGAAACAGTGCCCAAATACAAACAGAGAACAGGTGGGATATCGAAGCGTTATCCTGTCCAAGAGTTTCACAGTGAAAGGTCTGCAAGTTGAAACTGGTAAAGGTTCCAGCCAACCTCTAAACTACCTTACTTGACCAAATTAACCCCTCCCCAGCACTCAGCACCCAGTCAATGAACATTTTTACATTCAGATGAGATTGATGGCCAAGAAAATAGGGCCAAAAGTTGCACTCACACACTGTTGCCCAACCTAGTTAAAGTGAGCCCTTCAGCTCATATTGTGGCTTTTCCCCAAATCCCACCTAATGCAAATTTGCAAGACAGATGAGGCTGCTCATATACCTGGTTTCTCCCATGCCTCTTTGATGGGATTTGCCTCAACTGTAGCCTTTTGTTTCTCCACACATAAGGGCTGCTTCAGAGTACTAGATATTAGGGGTCGCAGATGGGGTTATGGGGGAGAGGCAGGGCCACAAACCATTACCTTCACACAGAACCGACCAAATTTGCAAATAGTGACATAGCAGCTATGCTTCTCTCCCCCGCTAGAGCAGCAAGCCTTACTAACTCCCTCCTCCACAGCTCTGCATCTTTGAGGCCAAATTTGGTCTGTAACAGCAAGTTTGCTAATTGCCCGTTTACTGTAACCAGCTTGGCAAGGCAGACACGGTTATGTCAGTATTTCTCTCCTAGTCAGGGTCTTGCGTCAGACTTACCACTACCATATCAGGGCAGCTCCAGAGGTGCATTAAGCGATGTGACAAACATGTCTTTTTGCTTTAAAAAATGTGTGTGTTCAGTTCTGTTAACATTTTTAGTTCTTGAAAAAATTCCCTTCTCCTGTATGTTAGCACAAACCGTCTACCCTTAGTTACAACAGTATTTGATGCCAGAGATGAAAGCAATGTCTTCATCTAAGCATATTTATGATTTCAGAGGTGGAGGTACTGTACAACACTGCCTTGCAAAACTGGGCCTGTCAAGAGATAAACATTAAACAGACAGACTGGGGTTTCTCCTTCACCTCACTCAGTCTCTCAGCATGGTTTATGCCAGTGGCTCGCAACCTTTTTTGGCTCAACGCACCCCTCAGAAAATGCCAGCTCTCAGTTTTCATTCGTTCACATAGTCACAATTTGGGTGGGATTAAATTAAAATAAGAGCCTGTGCTTAATTTAATTTAAGTGAAAAAGGAAACCTATCAGAGCTGCAACTCTTAATTATTTCCTATTTTTATGGCCACAAACTCCATCATGCCCACTTCTTCATCAGAAACTGATAAATATTTGTGTGCGAGAGGAAGTTCTGGCATAAGGCTATTTATATTAAAATTCGGCTACTAAAATTATGTAATTAATTTTAAAAAATTAAAATACATAGCTATCCTACTGTTGCAAAGAACTCAGAAAAACAACAGGACAGAATGTTTTTAACACTATGTGAAATCTCTGGGTTTATCTTGTAAATCATGTTTACCCACCTACCAGTATTAACATTGCACAGCACCCTTGAAAGGATCTCAAGGCACCCCAGGGTACCACAGCGAGCTATTTCACTGGCTTACACCATCCAAAACAGATAGTAAATAGAAACACTCTTTGCTTAAGAGCCAAATGGCCGGATGTGAGGACTGTGAACATTTCTAAAGTTCTATTTTATATAACTGTAAGATGCTTAACTATATCCCTAAGTGTGTTTCTACTTAAGGATACCATTTTTAAAAGATTAACATTTTTCTTAATTTATTAGCATTATTCTCAATTTATGAAAATATTAATGAAAAGCTGCATATCTTAAGACTGTAGGCACATCAGATACTAAATTACAGAGCCAAATAGCTAATACCTAACGCCAACAAAGATATCCACAAGACTCGCACAAAACCATTTCCCCCAAAAGGCTTCTCTCTCTCCAAAGGCTTCATGAACAACGAAACAACTAGGCTACGTACACAATCAAAAAGTCTGAGGCTGAACTGATTCAGTCTTCCTGGGTTAGTCTAAGCTGTGTAGATTGAACCAATAAGCAAGTGAACAGACATTCACTTTTGATTCTGGAAATGCAGCCATATGCCTGCAGTGGCCCAGGCCAGAAGCTGGGGGGCGCCAGAGCATACCTCCCTGCTTGGCTAGAGCTGACAGCTTGAGCCAAGCATAGCCCACCTACCCCTGCGGGGGTGGGGGGGGAGGGGGATGGGGCTGTAGGGCACCAACTGACAGCCACTATGGATAAAAGAGTTTGGGCGCCATGTCCTGCCCATCCACCCAGGAAAGTAACATTTACTAAGGTGGCCACTGCTATATCCACCAACCTGATGGACTG